TGAAATTCTAGGAAAAGGCTGTAAATATTCGTTCGTTTTCTTTTTTTTAATTCAGGAACTTTACTATAATAAGAGTAAGTTGCACCAACTAGTTAACTAATTAATTAACTAATTAACTAATGATTTGTTAAAAATTAATTACTTAATTAATTGACTAACAATTTTTATTCCTATCTATCAATTAGAACAATACATCTTTTAACACCTTTCAATTTATTATATAGACTTTCAACACCTGGCTTGACTTTATGTCAAGATTTATGTTTTCTTTCATATATAGTGCAAGCCAACTTTTTTTATATAGCATCTACATATTGTATATATATTTTTTTGTACTTAAAAACTGTATCCATAATTCTATAATTTCTTTTTCTGTCAATTCTCTAAAAGATTGTTATATACAAGTTTTTGAACTGCTTAAATGAATTCATCATGTTAATATCATTAAGCTATTTCAAATATTTTTAAAAAAAATACCAGTGCATAGCTAATATTTTGTATTAGGAAAAATATTAGATATCATATTTATATATCTTGTGCATGAAAGTCTTTTTTTTAAAAAAACTTTTTATAATAATGAATAGTGAAACTTATTTACTCAAGAGAAACTTCTATGTTCATTTAAATAACAACGTTGTTATTTATATTCAATGAACAATATTTAATTTAAAAAAAAGGGTGTTTAAAAGAAAAAAAGGATATACGATTTTATCAAATCAAAACGCTATATAATTTCATCAAATGAATTATTATATTCAGAATTAATCATATTTTGATTAATTCAACAGATTTAATCAAATAATTTATGGTGGAAATTATTATGACCAGGAGAGACTTAATATCGGCACTGCTAATTTAGATTAGAGTCTTAAGCACTAAAATAAGAAACCAAATATTTTATTAACATACACAAGATACCAAAAAGTACTAATATTACTGGCGATACAAGTAAGTATCTTCTTAATAAGTGTACCTGATACACTATAGTTCTCTAAGATATCCTTTGTCCTATCTCAAAAACTAAACTAAAAACTCTAAAAACTCTACTTATCTTCTAACCAGTGTTCTATGACCCACTATTTATACCTAATACATATCTCTCCTCTACTAAGATTTAAATGTCGGTCACGGTCATAAAAAATGTTAATTTTTTTGACAGAGATCCCACTAAGGACCTGAGTTATAACAATAAACAAACAATTACACCCACCTTTATTAAATTGTTAAAAACAGTTAACTCACCTATGCACCCTTAATAATTGTCAATAATTGTCAAAATTTGTTATTAAATCCACCCACCCACCCTCCACCCACCCACCCTTGACAACATTAACATTAATGTTAATGTTAACATTAATAACGTTAACGTTAATTTAAAGTAACATTAATGCTAACATTAATGTTTACATTAATATTAACATTAAATTAACATTAACATTAATGTTAACATTAAATTAATGTTAATATTATTAATGTTAACATTAATGTTAATGTAAATTTAATGTTAATGTTAATGTTAACATTAATGTTAACATTAACATTAACATTAAATTAATGTTAACATTATTAATATTAATGTAAATTTAATGTTAACGTTAACATTAACATTAATATTAACATTAATTTAATGTTAACATTAACATTAACATTAATTTAATGTTAACATTAATGTTAACATTAACATTAATGTTAATTTAATATTAATATTAATGTTAACATTAACGTTAATGTTAATGTTAAATTAATATTAATGTAAAAGTTAATGCTAAAATTAATATTAAAGTAAATATTAACATTAATGTTAATGTTAACGTTAAATTTACATTAATGTTAATGTTAATTTATATTAATATTGTCACAGTGTATTTCAGTACTCCGGGAATTCGTGGCAGCGGGTTCGATTTGGATCTGGGATTTGCATGAATGGCGTGATCATATTGCATGAAATTAATTTAAAGTCTAATTGTAGAATTGCATAATGTGTATAACCCAGATAAAAATATATCTGGCGATAATCTTTGTATTTAAATTGAGTGATCAGTAATAAAAAGAATTAAGTTTAGCTTTAGTAAAAAAAACGTTCTAATTAATACACTGTGTGGTCTCGTCGTTAAGGTGCCAAAGAAAGGTGGAAGTACCTGGAATGTTACCTCTAGTCTGTGTGTATAGCCAAGCGAGTGGAAATTCGAAGGTTAAAGAAACAAAGACTCTGTATTCAGAATCGTACTTGACACGAGAACCTGGGCATTCTAATCAGTAATCTTGCTAAGTGTATTGGAAGTTCTGTTAAATCAGTAAAGGGAAAAGACGTAGAATTTCAGACAAGTGAAAGACCTGTGGTAGTCAAGTCCCAGCATAGTAACTCTATTTGAAATAAGACCTTGTTAAAAAAAAAAAAAAAAAAAAAAAAAAAGAAAACGAACGAACGATAAGTAATATACATACACCTGCTTCTCTAAATAACATAGCCTGACTATTCTCGCTTGGTTGTTTATCCGTAGTAGTCCTAGCATCACCAATGTCGAAAGATCTGACAAAACTGTTTTTTCATGATGAAGACAAAGATGATATTGATGGGTTTCTGTTTGATTATGAGAGATATGCCAAGTCAAAAAGCTGGGATGAGGAGACCCAGTGTAGGATGGTCATTATACACATACCGGATGAAACAAAGCCGTGGGTTCGAAAACTAATAAGGACAAAGACACAGTGGTCAGATTTGAAAGACGCTATAATAAAAATAGTGAACGCTGAAAATGACAACCGAATAAAAATAAACTAGTTGAAAAATATCAAACAAGTAGAGAAAGAGACAGTTCAGGGTTATGCAAGTAGATTTGAAGCATACATGGATTCATTGAACAATACTGTAAGGAATTATGAGAAATGTGATTGGTTTTTGAACAGTTTACTAGAGGCATATCGATCGAAAGTCGAAGCCTTTTGTCCGAGTAATTACGCAAAGGCCAAGGATTGTACTCTTCAAATAGAAAGTTTTCAGAAGAATAGGGAATTCAATTATAAAAGAAGAGCTCTAACGATGGGTGAAGAGAAGCCCTCGGTGAATGCGGATATTGATAATATGACAGCGGTGTTTGAAGCTCTGACGATTAATCAGGTAAAACAAGAAACGAGTGATGAAAGAAGGATCGATAGGATCGAGTCGGATATAAGCGAGATAGTAAAGACAGTTAGACAACTTGCAGAAAACCATATGGACCAGATCGTGCTAACCATGAGTATCATAATTCAATACAGAACCTTATGCCACAAAGGCAAAGTCTTCCGAATCGACTATGTTTCAGCTGCCACCAGGAGGATCATATTTCACATAATTGTCCCAAGAGAGTGCCCCAGAACCGTCATAAGCAAAAGAGTGAAGAAGAAGTTAGAAATTTAGAGATGGAAAATAGGAGCGTGAACATTCCCTACTTTGAAATCATAGACATTTCATCTAATGCTTAAACAGAGTGCCTTAAGATTGAAATGGTGGAAGGAGAACCTATATTTGATGTTAGAAATTGGAATCTTAGAAAAAGAAGGCGCCCGAACGATGATGAAGGAACCCCGGGAGTAATAAACTCCGAGCGAAGTGAAGAACCAAAGGATGTAAAGGATAATCCTGTGACACCACGAGCCTATAGCTCAGTAATGTATATTCCTCTAAGTGAATTAAGTCAAGATTTGAATATCCTGAAAAAGGTAGCCAAAATGGAGGTGTTGTTAACGTTAGGACAACTTTTTAAATGGTCCTAAAGGCCAGAGCCGAAGTATTAAGAGGGTTAACGAGAAAGAAAAGAGAGAAC